CCTATTGCTGTGGCCTGTTCTCATTTTGTATCTAAATTATGGCTAGAAAAGATTCTTTGAATAACAAAGTCCTAATTTATATTATCAGGAAGGACTGAATTTACAGAATTATTAAATCAGAACATGCCTGTTTGTTGCTTCTTCTGCTTCCCTGTTTCTGAGATCTTCCACTGAAGTGAAGGGTACCTCCAGGTGATTCCAAGAAATGTTTACACTCAGCTGTGTTTTACACTATGTGCTGCTTTCTTCATTTTCCTTAATTTAAGATAAGTCATTGTAGATTGAAACATCACTAAGATCACTACTTCTACTAAGTAATAAGCGATAGGACAAGAGGAAATTACCTCAAGTTGGACTAGGGGAGGTTTAGATTGGATATTAGGAGAAATTTCTTCACTGGAAGGGTTGTTAAGCACTGGCACAGGCTGCCCGGGTCAGTGATGGAGTCACCACTTCTGGAGGGGTTTAAAAGATGTGTGGATGTGGCATTTGGGGACATGGTTTAGTGGTGGCCTTGGCAGTGCTGGGTTAATGGTTGGACTTGACGATCTTAAAAGAAATTTCCAACATAAATGATTCTATGATTCACAGTTACTTTCCCTCATGGACAGTGATGTTGGTTTTGTTCATAGGAACAGGCCGTGTCACTCCAGTTTCCAATCCTGCCGTGTGTGTCCCTCTGGTGTGAGGGACTGCGGGACGGGGCGTCATTGTGTCAAGTGCACCGAATGTAGCACAGAAAGTTCTCTCCCAGGAGCGTTACTGCCTAGGCAACGTGTTTAGTCCATCCACCCATCCATCCAGCCAGCCAGCCAGCCATCCATCCACTGCTTCCCACTGAGGGACGCGGGGCTCACCCCACACGGGGCGGTGTTTCTGTGCAGCCCCGAGTCAGAGTCGTGTCTCACGGCTGCTTTGGGGCAGGCACCCAGCCCCGCGGCACTTTTATTGTGCACAACGCGCTCGTTTGTTTTATCGACTCCGGCTGCGCTTTCCCCCCCCCGCCCCACAGGCGGCCCGGCAGGGCCCGAGGGCGGCCATGGCGGCGGCGGCTGAGGGACATCCCCGCGCGGCGCGCGCCCCCTGCTGCGCGTCCCGCGCCTTCGCCTCATGGCCGGGCCGGGCCGGGCCCGGGAAAGGCGGCCGGGATGTGGGAAAAGGAGACCTGGATGTGGGGCTTCCCTCGCCCCACGGGCCGCGGGGAGGGCGGGCATTAGCTAGAAGGTCGTCACCTTTATAATCTCGGATTTTATGCAGGTATTTGCAGCTGCCGTATCTCTAGGCGGGGCTCCCTTTTGCCTCCTGCGAACGGTGATAACATCACTGCGCTGTCTCCCGGGACTGCTGCGAGTAAATGCTTTAGAAAATTATTTGGCTGCGGTAGTCTTTCTCTAGTGCTCTGGTAAAATTGGCTCCTGCAGTTGTGTTAGTTGTTGTACAGCTGTGTTGTTCTGTAAAACACCCAGATGGAGGGGAGGGGGTTCTGCCCCTCAGCTCAGGTGAGACCTCACCTGCAGAGCTGCCTCCAGCTCCGGGGACCCAGCACAGGACATGGAGCTGCTGGAGCGAGTCCTGAGGAGGGCACCCAGATTATCGGAGGGATAAAGCACCTCTGCTGTGAGGAAAGGCTGACAGGATTGGGATTGTTCAGCCTAGAGGTGGCTTCAGGGTGACCAAATTGCAGCCTTCCAGTTCCTGAAGAGAGCCCACAAGAAAGATGGAGAGAGACTGTTTACAATGGCCTGGAGTGACAGGACAAGGGGAATGGCTTCAAACTAAAAGAGAGCAGGTTTAGATTGGATACTAGGAAAAAATTCTTTCCTGTGAGAGTGGTGAGGCCCTGGCACAGGTTGCCCAGAGAAGCTGTGGCTGCCCCACTCCTGGAAGTGTTCGAGGCCACTGATGGGGCTCTGAGCTCTAACCTGGGGTAGAGAAAAGTGTCTCTGCCCGTGGCAGGGGGTTGGAAAAAGATGATCTTTAAGGTCCCTTCCAAACCAAATGATTTTATGGTTCTATGATCTTCTATGACTGCTCTCTCTGTGCACACAGCTGTAGGAATTACATACATTGGCAACAAGTATACCCACTCTGAAAGAAGTTTCTGGAACTTCTGCATTCCCCACTTTAGTGGCAGTAATTTAAAACCCCACATTTCTAGTGAGCGGTGTGCTGCCAAAGCTGAGATCTGCAGGATTTGAACAACTTTGTGACAGCTGCAGGATGGCATTTCAGTTTCCACGGAAACTGGCACTGGCTCTACAAAATCAAGGTGAAGTGTTGGCTGATTATCTAGTAATAAAGCTGAGCATTTAAATATGAAGTTCTTCACCTTCCTTTTGCTGAAAGAATTTCCGTTCCTACAGCACACAGAAACGTGATCGAGGTCTTGTGACTTCAAATTGTTGTCACAGCTTGGACTGTGTAATCTCCTTTCCAGAGATGAAAGACAGAATTCAGCCTTGACCTGTTTAGCCACGGAGCCTTGTGCTCTGCTGTTAAGATAAAGGTCCAATTTGCCCTCATAACTACTGTGCAAACCAACACCATTGTTTGTATGACAAATTATAGAATAAAAGCAGTTCTTTTGCTTTACTGTGTGTTTTTATACTATGCATTTCCAGAACATTTTTTGTGCTCAAATGCATTTTCTTGTAACTAATTCTCATTGCCTAAACTTTTTATCTGCTCACACTCTTGCTTATCACCTGAATGTGATCTCTCTCTGGCTTTGCGCTCACTGGACTCTTGTTTTGAATCAGTGAGTTTGATCGTTTTGCTGAACATTCCTTTTTTCAGGTCATTGATTTCTAAGGTTAACAAAATGAATCCTCCTCCTGCTCCTTGTTACGTCCCACTAATCTCTTTGCTATATCCTGAACAGCTCAATTACCTTTTGCCTTCTATTTCAGATGCATTTATCGAAGTCACAGGTCAGTCTTTTGTGCAGGAAGCAGTTTCATACTGGATTCAAGAACATGTTCGTGTGAATATTTCTCATACTTATACCTCAATTTGCTAAGGCTGCTTAAATTTTCTTGGTTAATTTCCTTCTTGACATGCCCTTTAAAGTGTACTTTCTCCACTGCTTACTTTTTGCCAGAGAAGTCTTTCCTTCTAACCTCCAGACTTTTCCATCAGCTCTTGAGTAGTATCTTCCACAATTTGATAGTGTTGACTTTCCACTTTGCAGCACTTCATCTTTTCTACCCTTCTGAAACATCTGACTCCTTTGCCATCCCTTGTTCATTTTAGAAAGAGAGTAAGAGGCAATATTCTTCTGAAGGACATTTGCTCTGCTCTCCTCAATAGGAAATTTTCTTAGCCTGTTGGTGATGTTTCATATCACTGACTCCATGTACCACTCTTTTTGACTTGATCAGTTGTATCTCAGTTCGGTCTGAGGAGAGCACAAAGGCAAAAACCCAAAGCAGCAATGTTTGTGGCCTAACAGCCCGTGATACCCTCTGAATCACCTGGAAAAAAAATTAGTGGAGAAAGGGGCAGAGCATAGGTCTTACTCCTTTTATATGATCTTTCTCTAACCCAAATGACCCCTGTTTCACGTATCTGAGCCTGCTCTCACAGGTACTGTCTTTGCTAGGAGTGCATCATGGAGAAGAAAGGGCTTTTTACACATTCATTAGCATGTCAAGGGGTTGTCTTTAAATGCATTACAACAAGTGCCACATATCAGTCACAAATGTAATAAAAGAAGGCCAAACTAAACTTCTGGCTGCAGAAAGCCCCTGTGCAATCTGTCTAGGGCTTTGTCACTCTGAACTGCATTTTGCATATCAGAAATCTTTTCAGTGCCTAAAGACCATGTAGCCATTTACCAACCCCACTGACATCCCATAACGAGTGTCTGTACCTTTGGCAGTGGCTCAGAGGGCTGGGATCTCAGGAATAAACAATAAACCTGAAGCTCTCAGGCACAGGAGCTTGTTTGCTAAAGAGAGGCACATTTTTAACAGTAACTGAATATGACTGCAGATAAGAGGCTGATACCAGAGCACTAAGAAGGAATACAAAGGACACCACTCCTAATCAACAAGCTTGCCTAGAATTACAGTTTCTCTTTAGAAGAAAAGCCAAGAGAAGTTCTGTCTTGGAAGGTACTTTTGGACAAAAACTGGGGTTTTATGGGATTTGTTATCTTAGATGATCCAATTCTACTTTAAATGTATCATGTTAATTAACAGAGCCCTTCTGAGGTGCTGTAATTTTGTTCACAGGGGAAACTGAAGCTCTGGGCTTCTCTGAGGAAGCACAGAAGTTGAACATGTGAGATGAGCACCACAAAAACCTCACAGTAAATCCCCTCACATTCAGACAATTATCTCCCAATCAGTGCATTTGAGAAATTATGAAAAACCCCAAGCCCACAATACTCATAGGCTTTAAATTAGAGGTGGGGAAAGTGTGTCACATTTAAAAAAAAGAAATGGCCACAGAGGCACTTCTGTTTAAAGGCTCCAGGGTAGTCTGAAATGCTTCATAGCAGGGGGCAAAGCCTGGCAGAGCAGGGAGCTGATGATAGATGATAGTCTGCAACAGGCATTGAGTTCATACAGCCTTGAACACTGAATATGAATTCAAATTCAATGTTTTGCTGAGCAGCTTTGAGATACTGGTTGTTGTATTTTTTGGAAGAGGAGCTTTAATGACTAGTTGGGGAGTAATATGATAAAGAAAAGAAGAATTAAGAGCCTGAAAAAAAGGAAGGTTTCTGAAAAAGGTTAGAGTGGTGTATTACTTCACAAAGTGGTGGACATGTGAACCCTTGTACAGCATCAAAATACTGCTAGCAGATAGCTCTCCAAGAGCAGGTCAGCCACCACAGTCTGACAAAATCCATTAGCTTAAAAAGGGGGCCTTTTAAGACAGGAATTAAAAAGACAACATAATTGGGTGGTCTGGTTCACTGGAAGCACCTAGGCCATTCTCAGCCTGGACACATCAGTTCCCTTATAAAAGAAATACTCATTCAACAGCATTTGGTGTGACTTCCATTTCCAGTAATATTGTTGTAACATAGGAAAGAGAGGTATGTTCGTCTTAAGCGTTTTCTTCTTTGAAACAGACAGCAGAAGGAACAGAAGAATTACGAGAGGTAGTGAGTTTAGCAAACCTGCACATAAAACAATCTTTCATAAGGATAAAATGCTGCATTTACAGCTGTAAATGTACACACCCGTATAAGTTAAAAATACAAAGCTACTTTTCTTTTTTAGCTCAGAGAATGAAACAATCAAGTGCTGGATTTGAAACGGTGAATATCATTGCCCTGGCAAACCCAAACCTTTTGTACAGCATTGGGCTTTTAACTTAGGATCCTAAGTGAGAAAGTTAGACAGTTAGTGCAACCAAAGTGCAGTTGAGTTCTTCACTGTGTGTACATTTTGACTGGCTTGTAAAAAGAACGTCGGAGTTCATGACTCTCCCTGGCAGCTTCTCTTGTTGACTGAAGAAAACATGATCTGCAACATAGTTGGCCACAGCCTGACTCTGAATGATTAGGCAGGTGTTCATCAGAGAGTGGAGAAAAGTCAAAGTCAGCTACCTGTAAAAATAACATCAGAGATCATTTTTAGTTTTGTTCCTTCTGGCTCAAGTGAGTGCAGCCAGAATACATCAGGCCAGAAATGGCCCTTGGTCCTCAACCATTTTGGGTCAGTTACCGGCTTCAAACAGGCTCGTGATTCATACCTGCTGCTCACAGGCAGCCTCTCTACAGGTAAGTTATTCACATTATGACATACTGTAAAGGGTATGGGGTACTTTGCAAAGTAACATGAAAGGTACTTTTGATTTAGGAACTCATGATTATCACAAACACGTTTTGTAGCAAATGAAAGGTGTATCAAAGCTGGAAGGGGGTTGGAGAGATGAAGGTCACATACTAGGGGTAGGAAGCAATTCAGTGCTGGTTTAGGCAATGTACCCCTCCTATTTTATTATCCTGTACCCTCTTGAACCATCTCCCTGCTTTCTTTTGTGTAACTTCTTTGAGGTAGATCCTCTGGTAGAGATACTTCAGTGCAAGCATCGGCTTGAGAGTATTAACAAATTGCTCATGGAAACTTGATTTAGATTCCTCTGCAATAAGCCAGACACATGCCTGTTGCTTGAAGTGTTTGCTTACACTGTTTAGATTTTTTGGTGGAACAGATCACACATACCAGGGAAATGTTCCCTCCCGCTCCACTTGTCTGGGGATTACAGAACCTGTCATCTTAAATACCTTTCATGGCTGAAAGATACCTAATTACTGTCCCAGTCAAAGTAGGAGTAACTGAATACCTCCACAAGATCTTTTTGTTGTGTGTTGCTTCGAAGGGTCGTGTACAGCACCAGTAGCAGCATCAGTGAAACCAGAGTGATGCAGAGCAGGACTAAGAAAGCTGGGTGGATCCCTAGGAAAGAGCACAAGGACACATTCCTGGAGTGTTACAATACCATGAGAAGAGGCAATAATGAGCAGGAAAAGATGGAGAAGTTTTAGGAGAAACCCTTGTATTTTTAGAACAAAGGAGATGTGTGTAAGAGGGAATACATTTTTCTATCCTGGATCACTCCAGGCCTTTCTGAAATCTCACAAGAGGGAAAAGGTCTTTCCTGGTTTTCCCATATTTTCTATTGAACAGCCAAAAAAACCCCTTCCAGTTACTTATGTTAGTCCTGACTCGCCAGGGTGTTTGTGCCTCAGTGGTACTTCAAGAGGACAGGAAAGGAGAGGATTATTTCACTTTCACAGCAGCCTCCAGGTCAGGGGATTTAGCCCTGAATGCACATCAGTGCCTTCTGGAGCAATCTGCCCTGTCTGTTCACAAGTGCTGCCCACGGTGAGATGTGGTAACTGTTCTGTATCACAGCCTGGCTGCCCTCTGTCCTCTTCACCTGGCCACCTCACCACTTTCCCAGATGATTTGGGGACACAAGAGGGCCACATGTGATCATGTATGGGGGAGCCAGCAGGGACTGCTGGCAGGAGGGACAGAAATCTGTAATGAAATGGAGGCCTAGAGAAATCCACTCTCAAAAACCCCATAACTAAAGTAAAAGGAGAATTGAGACTGTTTAATTAAGTGAGTGTGACAGATGTATATTTTCCTAATTATCCTCTCTAACTACAAAAGCTGGACTATTTAAACTGAAAAAAAAATGTAATTTAAGTGATATAGCCTTCCCAGAAAACTTACTAGCTTCAAGACACTCTTGGGACTAAGGGTTCAGCAAGAAGCCCAGAGCAATTACAGCAGGCACATTATAAGCTCTCCTTTCTCTTCTTATTCCTATCCTTTTAGAGATCTATACAAACTTTCCAGAGACCTCACCTGCAGGCTGGTTAATTCCCAATTGTCCCTAACCTGTTTGAGACTATCAGTGCCCTGACAGGCGGGAATCTCTCTCCCTGCTCCTCACCTGTTGGCCACACTTTTATCCCGTGGTAGGTTTGCAGCATCGTGACGCCGTTCTCCACTCTGATGCTGAGGCAATACTGCCCCGCGTCCCTGAAGGTGTGGCTGAGGTTGTAGCAGGAACCACTGATCTCCACCAGATGGCATTTGTCACCTTCAAGTGGAATGCACTCGGATTTTATAAGCCAGCATAGTGCCAGTGGTGGGCTGAAAGGAAAAGAGCAAAAAGACACAACAGAAAAAGCTGAAAAATTCACGAAAATTTCAGGTAAGAGTTTGGTTAAAATAGCGTAATAATTTTGAAAATAATGAAGGTAATCTAAATACAAACAGAGAAGTAATTAACCTCACAATTGTTTGGTTTACAGCATTTGCCAAATGAAAAGGTTCTTTGTGGTGGCTCTATGAAGGTAAGGCTTTCAGCTGAGAGCTGGATACCTGTGTGGGTCACTGGCAGGCCACTGTGTGTAGAAAACCCCAGTCATTCTCCAAAAAAGATAAAAGGAAGCTTTTTTCCCCTGCACTTCCAAGGGAGTATATGTTGTTTGTTCTTTGTCCTCCTCACACAGAAATCATTGTCTGTGCTACTGAAGCACACCCAAGACTTTTCTAATTAAAAAACCCCTGCAAGTGAAACTGGAGAGAATGTAAGATGAGCTCTGGACAGTGGGCTAACAGCTGGAAAAGGGAAACGAATTTCAAGGAGACCACAGCAGTTCCTTACAATAACAAGAGGTTTTTATTTGTTATCAAGCAATCTAGTGCAACCCACTTTATGGCCATATGGCTTCTCACCATGTTTAGCTCATGCTTTTTACTTACATTTCCAGGCCTCTGTTCCAACTGATTCTGCCCAAACTCACCTTAGGCACTATGGACTTTGACACCAGACAGAGCTTTTCATTGCCCCATTTTATTAGTATTTTGTTTCTTGTCTCTTTATGACATTCTGTGCTAAAGAAAGCAGCATGTTTATGTGCTTAGCTCGTTTTCTAGCTTTGTTTTTGATAACCCATCTCTCAAGCTTTGTCATTGCCTCTCTATCTTAAACTCCTATTGCATCAGCCCCAGTCCTGTGACTAGGAGGTCACCAAGCCTGCTTTTAGTGATCTCAGGTTTGCCTGGAATAGCTTTTGCTTTTTAGGGAATGAAGTCTTGTTTGCTACTTACGTGCCATTGATGTGAAGAGATAAATTCAAGTTTTCCATTACATGAGTTTCTCTGGAACCCACTACGTTAATACTTTTAACAGCATCTGAAAAGAAATCATAAGGCAGCATGTCACACTCCACATGTACACTTGAAACTCAATGATTTTCCAGTGAAGGTTTGTTTTCACAGACTTTGCAAATTTGAGCTCCATCAGTCACACAGATAATAATACTTGTCTCATACCCAGAAAGGAGACCTACCAGTAGAGATGTTGTAAATTTTCTGAATTTTTGATGATTTATTTTTAATACACAATCAACTACTTTATTAATTCTTTACATTTTTACTTTCAGGTTTATTTACTCCTGAATCTGACCAAATCAATGAGACTTTCCTAATGCTTGTTTTAACTTATGTATTGTTTAGGATTAGCTGGTATAAATTGACAAATCCAACATAAGTTATGGTCAACAATTTATTGCTTTAATTGTATGTGAGACTTTAAAAAAAGACAGTAAATTTTTGTTGTAGATTAAAAAGAAACAGAATATTTTATATATTCACCCCCCCCCCTTTTTTTCTGCACTAAAACAGCACAAAGTCCATTTTGCAATGGAAACACTTCATTGAATCATGTTGGCCAGTTCTTGCATGTGAAACTATGCTGAAGTTGTTGTTGCCACTTTAAAGCTAGATTTTGTCTGTACATATATAGCAAGTTGTGGATTGAACAAGCAAAATGCTTTTTAATTACCCAAGAGCTCCAGAGCTGTGGTAAAATCACCAGTTTTCTGCATAATTTCTCTTTCGTGGATGATGCTTCCAATTTGCTCCCATTCAGCTACGACTTTCAGGTGCACTGTGCGATTCCCCATGGAAGAGCAGTTACAGTACACAAAGGGTTCCTTGGTAATCTGGTAAACTCTGTGTGAAGCAGGAAAAGGTTTAGAATCTGAATTGCCTTTTACCAAGTGCTTTCAGATTTCTGGTCTTAAATTGGACAAGCTGTAATATATTTTCTTTACAGGCTCCAGTCACTGCGATTCTAATTCTACTTTATGTCCGTATCAATGAGGATTTATGTCTATGGCAATACCTACAGAATTACAATCAGCATAAGATCTGGAGTAACCTTGTGCATTTTTAAGCAAAGAAACTAAAGATAATGCTAAAAGAACTCACAAAGTGAAATAAGAATAGTCAGTATATTATGAAAACAACTTTCATATCAGGCAGACTATAAGTTAATTGAAACTAAGGTGGGGGGAGAAAGTAAGAAAAAACTAATATTCAGAGACTAGAGCTTACATCTCACATCTCTCTTTGCCTATACATGTATTCATCTTCAAAGAAGGTAAATAACTGAATGGTTTTTTCCTCCCTACTGCCAAGTGGCTTTACCCATGGTTTTATTTCTGGTGGTTCTGAGTGTTGTTCTCCCCCTGGTAAAGTGCATCTGCATATTATTTGAGACACTCTCCACTTTCAAAAGCTGCTCACCAAACTGTTGTATATTTATGGGTAGGTGGTCACAGTAACAGCTTCTTATTGCTCAACCACTGCTTCCATTCTCCTTAAGTGCACAAATTATTCACACACACAACAACCACCTGCTAATGGAGATCTGAGGCACAGTGATACTTTAAAATAACAATTTACAATAAGCTACTTATTCCATTTCACTCAGTCTGGCTCACTGCACATACATGTAAGCATATAACTGAATAAGAAATCCAGGTCTTTAGAGCATCACCATTTTGTGAGCACACAGTGAATTTTGATTTTCAGAATTCACCAGGTTGGCATGCCAAGGATATACCAACTTACAAATGCATATGCTTTGTCCTGTGATTTAACTAGGATTTTTCTCTAGATGAGCATCTGAATCAGACCCATCTTGAATACTCCTTAAAGCCAACCAAGTATAACCACACCTACCCATCTCCAAAATCCCAGTTGTAGACAAATGATGCTGACTTGAAGTAATGACTTGGGTCATGGAGAGAGAAGGAAATCCGGGTCACTGCATCCGTGGAGGAACTAGAACCCCATGTGACAACTTCACTATCTTCTATCTGGGCAATTGTGAGATTCCCTGTGATAAATTCTGCAGGAAAATAAGGTGGGAAAAGAATGACAGCATGTCACTTCCATAACATGCTCTGTGTGTGTATCAAAACATAATTTCAGATGTACTGCTTGAGCCTTTCTGTGTCCAATTCCAAGCTTTAAAGTGTATTTTATATATATTATTGTGTTGTTACATATGTTAACAAGGCAGTGAAATTAAAATATTTATTTTGGGTCACGATAAACCTTCTAATAGAACTAAGAAATAATCCTGGACTGATTAGGTTCAGTATAAACTTTTACTCTTGATGTAAAAACAACTGGGATTAACAAAGAGTTTCTAGATTTAGAATCAAACCACTACACACCCCCTTCATGTTTGGGGTGCTGGGGTTTTTTTGTTTATTTGGGGAGGTTTTCTATTTTGCTGGGTGTTGGCTTTTTAGTTTGTAGCTATTTCTACATAAATTAAAATTGGATTGCTATGAAGAACAGAGCACTATGTATTGTGAATACAGAAAGGATTAAGTTTTGGTGTCTGTGAGATGTTGGCTCTGTGTTGGAATTTGCTTACAAGGCTGATCTAAAAGAAACCCTCTAACCTATGAATACAGAGGTTTTATGATGACATGGTGGAAAGCTGTCAGGTGATGATTTCGTGTCAACTCCTGTACCAGAGATTGGGTTAATCATACCACACCACTGGTTAATTTGTAAAAAAAAGCATATTTATGGTTATGAATATTCCTAATAAGCTGAAATGGCACTTAGCAACATTTGGAAATGCAGCCATGATTTCATATCCAATTTCAGTACACTCAGTCAGACCTTTAAAAGAAACTGTAAGAGCTCTGTTGTGGTGATGGCCTAAGATCTGCTGTGTCATGCAACAGGGAAAGCCAGCAGACTGTCACTGCTGCTGGTCATCCCAACTTTAAAAGTAGAAATGCTGGGAAGCATTGTTTTAGGAGTCTGGGCATCACTGAACAATGCTGATGTGTAAACTGCAGCTGCAGAAGCATTTGGTTTCTAGCTCAGTTTCTCTAAGTGGCAGAGGCAGGAAAACACGGGCAGGATCACACTTCTTGGATGTAAACAGACTGCAGTGCAGCTCTAACTGTACTAATCGTAAAGTGCCACCTAAACCCACCTTCAAAGGGCTACACAAATCAAACCCTGCTGTCAGGAGCCATATTTACAACTGGCTTTCATTTTCCTGATGCTAGCAAAGGCAGCCAGCACCCTGAGTACTGAATTCCTGAAGATGTAGAGGTTGGAAAGCCAAATCTTACCTGTGATCTGAAGCACGGTGACATTTCTAACAACCGGCCGACACAGCCAGCAGTTCCTGTGAGTCACCCAGACAGATACAGGAAAAGTCCCAGGAAATTCTCCAGTCACATTAATTACAGAGTTAAACCCCTGCTCAAATTTCTCTATCAGAATCAGAGGAGCATAAATCCAGTTAAACTGATACGAGTCTGACGTGACATTTTCATTCTTCACACTTAGAGTGGCCTGAACAGTAGCTTGAGCTCCTGTTGTGACGGGACCATTGTTGGTTATTTCTAGACCATATGCCTCTGTGGAAATGAGAAGAAACAAAGCAAACCAAACCCTATTGTATTGCATTTTTAATGTTATTTATTTATTTACACATTTTAAATAGTCAGTTGAACCACCTCTGCTGCTCTGAATAACTCACTTTATCTTCTCTTCTGTGTTTACTCGAGCTACTTCAGCTTTTGCAGCTACTGCAGTGGATGGAGTGTGAGTGAAGTTGGGTTTTATGGAAAGCATGGTTCAATTTTTCCAAAAAATAGTGGTGAAGCCACATTAAAGGATCTGCATGCCTTAAAAATTAACCAAAAAACAGCCCTAACACACCAAAACAAAAGGAAAGGCAACAACTACCAATAGCTGTGAACTTGGACAGAGTTGGGAACAGGATCTGGTTGCCTCCAACATGGGGTGGAAAGAGATTCCAAAGCATCTACTTAGAGCGCACATTTTATTTTACACATCACAGGTGTTGAGCAATTGTAGAGGCAAAAGGACTGTGAGAAATGAACTGTAACATTACTGCCTGAGCAAGAACTCCACTGTTCACATTTCACAGCACAAGAAATGCCCCGAGTTCAGGTTTTTTGAGTTAACAGAGAAATGCTTGTGATTTGATGAAATCTGGCACAGAGAGGTTTCATGTCTCTGGAATATTCAGGCTATGCTCTACTTCAGCAGAACTTAGGAAAAAATAGCTGGTTACCTCATGCTTATCTAGCCTTCTCCTTGGAGGTTATTGTGGTGCTGCACAAACCATGGCCGTATCAGCTCAACAGCTGCAGCAGCTGGAGATTCAGTGGCAAACCCAAGGTCACTCAGGGAGTGACCGGCACAGCAAGATATTCCATCCAATACCGGGATTTCTTCTACCTTCCCGACACCTCTCTGCTGAACGCAGCTCTGCGAGTCCCACAGCCAGGGACAGCGGCTGCACAGGTGCCTTGCGACCCGCGGCGCCGGGTCAGTGGAGGGAGCAGAAGTGCAACTCTTAGGTCAGATGTGCAAAGCAGAATCCCGGCTGGCCGGGATGCCCCACCTTCACTGCAGGCATCAAGGTCGCAGTGCCCGAGGATGAAGTCTAGGGTGGTGGAAAGGTGCCCGGAGCTGCCTCCATCGGCGGTCGTAGCTATTAAGCTGGGGCAGCGAACCGCCTCCCGCAGCAGTAATGCAGCTCACGGCTGATGTGTGACCCCTCGCTCCCCGCAGCCCCTCGCCCGCTCCCCGGCGGCGATGCCAGCGCGGCCCCGCGGCCCCTTACCTGCCACCGGGGGGGCACCGAGGCCGAGCAGCAGCATCACACAGGTCAGCCGTACCATGCTGGGGGCCGCGGGGTCACGGGCCGGTGCCGGGACCGGGTCTGGTACCAGGTGTAGGACCAGGTCTAGCACCGGCTCTGCCCCCGCCGCGCTGCGGCACCTCCGTCCGCGCCCCGGGCCGCTCCCCCGCGGCAGCGCCCAGCCCGCCTCTCCCGGGGGCAGTTCCTGCGGGATCGTGCTGGCAGCGAGACGGGGCTGCGAAGCCGCCGGGGGGGTGTTAAACAAACAATCAATAAAAATAAGCCCAAATGCCGCCCATCTGCGGAGAGCGCGGTGACAGCCCTGAGGGTTCGGAAGGGTCTGTGCTGTGCTTTGGGGCGACACGCAGGGGGTCGGTGTTTCTGAGGCCCCGGTGGCGCGGGGACGGCTCGGCTGCTGTTACCGGCACCTGGGCTGCGGTTACGGGTCCCGCGGCGCTCCGGGCGGCCCGTGAGGGGCGCGCTGCCGCAGGGAGCCAGAGCCAGAGCCCCGCAGCGGGCTGTGGGATTTTAAAATTAATTTATTTTTTATTTCTCCTCTAAACTGCTCATTCGAAGCCCCTTGCCACTCCTGGTTGCGGTTTTGTTTCTCCTGGCGGATCAGTCCCCTCTGTTTCGGTTCCAGCCCTGCCGCCGCTCTCCCAGGGCCCCGGCGGGCCGGGCCGGGCCGGGCCGGCCGGAGGGACCGGCAGCGGTCGCGTCTGTCCCGGTAACTCTCGCCCGCTGTTACCGCGGCCGAGGGGGAGGGCGGGGCTCGCCTCAGGCAGGGCTCGGCTGGGCCGGCCCAAGGCGGGGGTGGCACCGGGGCCAGCGAAGGGATCAGGGGGCACCGCAGGGCTCCGCGCTCCCCTCAGCCCCGGGAGAGGCGCGGGAGGCGGCACCGGCGGGAGGCGGCACCCGGAGGAGGCGGCCGGAACTGAGCGCGGGCGCTTCCGTCGCGCCCATGCGCTGCCGGCGGCCTCCGGCAGCAACAAAGGAGGGACCCGGGGCCCGGAGCGAGCCGGGCCCGGGAGCCGCGGGGTGAGGAGCGCGGGGGCAGCGCCTCGGCGGAGCCCGGGGTGGAGGGGAGCGGAGCGGTGTGGGGCGAGGCCGGCGCGGCGCTGCCGGCGGGGCGGGACCGGCGCGCTGCGGGCAGGAGAAAGCGACCGGAGCGCCGCTGGCTCCCCCGCCGGAGGCCTCGGGCCGAGCGGGCACCGGCAGCGCTGAGGGGCGGGGGAGGCGCCGGCGCGGCCGCTCACGGGTGCCCCTGTTCGCAGGGCGGAGATGGGGCCGGCGTGATGGCGCCCTGGCCGCGGGGAGGAGCCGGTGCGAGCAGCGCTGCGGCGGGGAAGGTGAGGGGGTCCTGGGGGGCGTTTGGGGGCACCCCCAGCCATGGAGGCCGTGAGGAGCTCGGGCAGAAACCGCCCAGGGCAGCGGGGAGGCCGCCGGTCTCCCAAGAGGAATGTGGTTTTAGGTTTCTTTACAAGCGAGAAAGGCAGCTCGTGGACAACTTCGGGCACGGCAGGGAGCGAGTCCCGCGGGGGTGTGTCCGAGGGGAGCTGTAAGTTTGGGGTCCTGGGTGACAGGGTGACAGGTGTGCGGTGTCGGGAGCATTGCCGCGCCTGGAGCTTGCTGCTGGGAGAGATGGAACCAAGCGAAACGCCAGAATGTTTGGGCTGCGGTGAGAAGAGCCCAATAACCACTTGTATCTGTGCATTCCTGTTGCAGCGAGTGCTGTATATGCTTGGCGTTGTATTTGTAAGCTTAAGTAAACGTGACAGCTGTGGTTTATGGAAGAGGTGGTCCCCTTCAGTAGGTCAGAAAAATGGATGTAGTGATCTGATAGTGGCTGTTAACCAGCCATATAAACTAACCAAACTTCTTTATTCTTTTGTAGGTGTGTTGATCTTGATTTTAGGTACTGAAAACTGATCTTTCCTCCTCCAAGATGGCATTTGTTTCAGCACAAGGGCCTACGGTGGTGGACCAAACCACTTTGATGAAAAAATACCTTCAGTTTGTAGCTGCTCTCACAGATGTCAATACACGTAAGAGAGTTTTTTTTAATTGAAAATTACAGTTCTTCGTTAGTTTGTTTCACAAATGTTGCAGGACTGTTCAGGCACTAGATCAATGTCAAATTCACTGTGAATTTTGTTTGACTTTTGATTTTTGAAGAAGCAAAGTGATGAGCAATACTTGCGTGAGCCAAAGTGAGTGAGTTGAGTGCGTGTGTAGTTGTGTGGTGGTTGGTTGAGAGAATGGTGTGCGTTATAATTGGGCGATGATAGCTAAACTGATAAGATCTGATTGCTTCTTTGGTCAGTGAACCTGGAGTTTTCCTTCATGATCTTGTTTTATATTTACATCTTTTTGCTTCAATTTCCATTTTCAGCTGATGAAACCAAATTGAAAATGATGCAAGAAGTCAGTGAGAATTTTGAGGTAAATAAAAAGAAAAAAAGGCCCAAACAACAAAACCCCAATAAAAACCCCCAGCCTTCTGCAGTGGCAGCTTTTCTTGTGCTTAGTGTATGTTGACTTGATTTCTGACTTTATGTGGTTAAAAGATTAATGTGTCTTGTGACTTAAAATTAAACAGTTACAAGTCACTGATTTTAGGTTTGTATTTAAGAATTAGGCAGATTGTTGAAGGAGTTACACTTGAACTTAGAGAGTTTTCATTCCCTAATCTTTATTTAGTAAGCGTTTAAATAAAAGTGAAATAAGAGATTTTTCTTCCATTTTTTTAAATGGAAATCTCTGTATTTAAAACTTTCTTTTATTTGGTTCAGTTTGTATTGTGCCCTTGTGAAACAGAGACCCTTCTGATTGCTCTGGGTAGTTCCAGAGTACAGAAGTGAGAGAGGAGTTGTCAGATGCAGAATCCGACACAGAGAGTGGAGATGTCTCCAGTGACGTCTTTTGCATAGTGATGGACCATCATTTTAGATGAGCAGCAGAGAAAATGTGGGACACAAGTTAACCTTGTGTTAGCAGAAATTTTACTCTAGGTGAATATTTAGTTATTGTGTGGCTGTTCTGAAATTCACGTTCAAGCTCTGTCAGCTGCATTATTGATCTGGGTGTAGAACTGAACATGGAGTGATGATTCTGGGGGACTCCCTGATGTGAGATTTATAACTGAGGTGCTTCCCCACAGTATTAGATACGTGGCAGTGCCAGTTGTGCTGGCTGTTGGAGTGTTGTTCTGTGCTAGCAGAGCATATGACTCTTCTTAACCAGTTTCTGGATGGAAACGTTTGATAGATTCAATTCTGGTTTCTTAGAAATTTTTTTGTTTGAGGGTGAATTTTTTCCTTCTCCGTTTCTTCATAGAGAGTAAAGGAGTTAATTTGTATTGCCTTTTGCTTGCTTCACTGGGAGTGCTCTGTTGTGTCAGCAGAATGTAACTAAATCTAACCTGTGTAATTTGTATCATTTATCTCCCTATTTTTTACTCTTCATTAGAATGTGACCTCATCCCCTCAATATTCTACCTTCCTGGAACACATCATCCCTCGATTTCTCACCTTTCTACAGGATGGAGAAGTTCAGTTTCTGCAGGAGAAACCAGCACAGGTAAACTGTGTGGAGCATCTCTTGTCTTTTTGCAGTAAAGTCCTTGATTAACCTAATGAACTGATTTATGTGTAGGCTTGTTAAAAGTAGATCTGTCATCTGGAGTGAAATTGAAAAAGTCCAGTTTCTAAGTGAGTTACATATAAACTTGTCAAATCTGGGCTTCTATGAAAAATGAAGAAAAACTAGGTGTGACAGGGTTGGCTTTCTGGCAGAAATACTACACATTGTTACATTACAAATTACTGTCTTTACTGAGGGTTAGGAATGAAAGACAAAGTTGAATCTTTGTCATTAAATACTTAAAACTGCATTCCTTAAGAAAAGTTTGAAAACTCATTTTTCAACTGTAAATTTGTTAAATTTCCCTTAATTCACAGATGTGTGGGAAGCATTCTGTGTTTGAATATAAGCTTTAAGCATGCAGAAGTCATAAGCTGAAAAAGATGTTGCAGCCCATTGTTGGGTGATGGGAAAAAGGCCATCCTTGGTTTTGAGGGCTTTTAAAACCGTTCTGTCATATCTTTATTTTTTTTTATAGCAACTCCGAAAGCTTGTGCTTGAAATAATTCACAGAATACCAACAAATGAACATCTTCGTCTTCATACCAAAAATATCCTGTCTGTGATGTTTAGATTTCTAGAGGTACTTTTTTTTCCCTTTAAAACTGTTTCAAATTTTCAGAAATATTTTCCTCTACTTTATTCTTCTCCAAAATTTACTGGGTGTAGCATTTTCAATAGCTGTGCTACTGGATCAAGAGTGGAAGGGCATTCTGTTTAGGCTTCACCCACGTCATCTGTTAGCACAAAGAGGTTTTCTGCATGTTCTGTTTTGTCCTTTCAAAATTTAGATTTGACTATTGCAGGGAACTGTTCTCATGCTGGACAAGATTTCCTGACAGAGAGCTTATTCTAGAGAGTTTGTTTTCTTTCTTGGAATTGAAAACACTGTCATTTGAAGCTTCCAAAAAACAGCCTGCTCTAGGCAGAGGTGTTTAAATAGCCCCACACGGGGCTCTGTCTGAGGAGAACAGGTCTGATGGTACAGAGTGGTTGAAACTTCTGGGTTTTGTTCCCATAGGGTTGGATTTAATTTTAGCCACTCTAGGACTGCAAGGTATCAAAGGAAAGGCATCCTGCTCATGCAAATCCATATTAATGGGGCACTTTGGAATGTTGAGAAGAGTATAATTTGTAGGGTTTTGAACTACTTACAGAGTAGTTGAAGAATTTAGCAGTGGACTCACTGAAGATTCTTTTTTTCAGACGGAGAATGAAGAAAATGTACTGATTTGCTTAAGAATAATTATCGAATTGCACAAACAGTTCCGACCAGCAATCACTCAAGAAGTAGGTCATAAATCTTGTTATATGGTGTAGAACTTACTGCCATGCTCTTCAGAATTGCTGTTTTGTTCCGGTGGGTTGGTTGGTTTGTTTTCCTCTTGTCCTTTTATGTTGCCTGAGCTGTTGTGGCAACCATATATTTCATTTTTTATTTTTAAGTAATTTTTAAAAGGATTGCATAGTGCTCCCAACCCTTGGAAAAAACCAAACTGGTAAAGTCTAATTGTCCTTGCTTCAGGTGCTTATGGACAATATGATCTGACTTAGGAACAGAACTCCCATACAAAGGAAGAGAATTGATGCCGTTTTGGCTTGTGAAGGGAAAAACCTGAAACAGGAATGTTATGATTGTCTCCCCCCTTTCCCCCTCTCTTCTCCCCTGTGACTCATCAAGGAGTATTTGCAAGTTGTCTTTTTTCCATAGTCTTTTTCTGGGAAGACATAGT